ACACACACACACACACACATATATATATAAATTAGTCAGGTGTGGTGTCACCGGCTTACAGTCTCAACTAGTTAGGAGGCTGAAGCAGGAGATGGCTCAAGCCAAGGAGTTTGAGGTGGTTGTGAGCTGTAACACCCGTGCACTGTAGCCGGAGCCACTGCATGAGACCTTGTCTCAAAAAACAATAACATTAGGATTGGAATCTTGGGCAGGAGGTGGGCTCACACCTCATTTGGAGGGTCGCAAGAGCCCACATTTCGACCTCTGACACTCTCCTTACCCTTCTCTCCAACCTCTCTAGAAAGTCTCAGACGCCTCCAGCCCTAAGCCCTTGTTTGCGGTTGGCTAAAAATAGACCCACCTGGTGCTCCTGATTTGCTATAAGCTCCAAGAGTCCCGCCTTCTCTCTCCAATGAGTCGCTACTCCTAAATTCTTCCCGCCCACCCCCTCATCAAATAGATTGGGAGCCAGGCCCTTCTCGCCATTAGCGCGTTCAGGAAGGCTGTCAGGAGAGTGAGCAGAGAGGACCGGCTCTAGCAAAAATGGCAGTCTCGGCGCAGGTGGTGCGGTCGCGCTTTGGCATGTGGGGCGTAAAGGCCGTACAAGCCCGCGGCTTCGCCTCGGATCAGGTACGTTGCAGCAGTACCCGCTGCCCCAGCCCTGGACGCGTATTCCCTCTTTGCTTCCGCACCTTTAGTAATATCCCTGTCTCGCTTTAGCCCAGCAATGTCGACAGGAGCGCGGGCTCGATCCGGGAAGCTGGTGGGGCGTTCGGAAAGAAAGAGCAGGCGGAAGAGGAACGATATTTCCGGTGAGGCCCACCAGGTCCCAAGAACAGGCTTACGTCTTCCAGGGCCTTCCAATCCTTAAACTTCCAGTCGCCCCATCTAACCCTATCTGGTGTCTTGGGGCGCTTCATCCCCCAACACATTACAACCTGACATTTGAGGACTCCGGCTGTTGCCACTATATTGCTCTTATCCTCCTGCTAAACAGTCCTGCTAAACAGTCCAGGGCTCCCAAACCCAAACCATTTCCACCGGCTGGTCTCCGGAACTCTCAACCCATGGCTCACCCTCCTCCTTTATCAATTACCATCGTCCCCTTCATGTTCTCCCAGTGTCCGTGAAATTCCCCCATTTTCTTCACACAGCGTGTGGCTCTGACCATCCAATACTTGCAGACCCTCAGAACGCGACTCCCTGGGCTTTCCACCCATGTTATTATGCTCATTCTTCCCCTCACACTTTAACTTGGCAAGCCCATGTTCATTACCTAAAGCTTCAGACCTCAGCCATTTCTAGACCCTCACCCATCTCCAATTCCACCAGAGCAGGTGGGTCATAGGAGCTGGTGGCACCGGCTTATGATTGGACTTTACCCTCTCCTTCAGACTTTTGCCTTACTCAGCCCAGCCCAGACCCTGGGCTGTAGATTTCCCTCTCCCTCTTAGAAGTAGTGAGTGGGTTGGGCCTTTCTGAGCCCTGAGTTATCTTTAGTCTACTTCTGTCCACACTGGGGAGTAGGGAGGAACTAATCTTCTTTCTGCCCATTATTGAAAATTGTCATATATGGAACCAGCCATTCCAGAGAACCAATATATGACCCTCTACATTTTATAGTTAAGGAAAACTGAGAGCTAAATGTGGGTGAACCAATGTTTTAATCTAATCCCTTCCTGAGACCTAAATTGAACTGCCAAATACTGTCTATGGAATAGACTCCATTTATGGCCCTGACAAGGGCCACCTTTTTCTAGGCAAAGAAAGGCCTAGATAAATTGGAGTAGAGATGATATGTGTCCTTTAACCACACCCCTTTCTCTCTCTCTCCCTCCTTTTCTGCCTCCTACTACCCCAAAAGTGACTCAAGATCTCTGGGTTGTTCCTCTGATAAGGTATTGGGGATTCAAGTCATATCTCCTTGGAGTTTTCAATTTTAAAGAGGACTCTGAAAGGAATAGCTCATCAATGATGGAATTTCAGGCAATAGCACAAGGAAAATGGAATCATTTTGGTCATCTCCTTAAGATGGGTACACCTCAATTTAAGATGGAGATTGGGGATTAAAAGAGGATGACCAGCCAGACTCCATGATATTGGGACTCCTATACTTTGCCTTAGGTATAGGTTATGCTTAGAGATCTCTTTAGGGTTTAGGATTGAGATTAAACCCTGAGCCACTGTGTCCTTGTAGGGCGCAGGCTAAAGAACAACTGGCAGCCTTGAAAAAACACCATGAAGATGAGATCGGTCATCATAAGAGGGAGATTGAGCGTCTACAGAAAGAAATTGAGCGACATAAGCAGAAGATCAAAAAGCTAAACCATGATGATTAAGTGCACAGAATTCCCCATAGAACGGCACATACCAGTGCCTATTTCTATGTAAACATAGTTCTGGTTTAATTAATATTTGTCTGTGTGCTACTAACAGATAATAAACTGTCACCAGTGAACTGTATCTGTTGCCTTCTATGTGGAACAGGGTAGAGGGACAGACACTACTGGACTGCTAAAATGAAGTAGACAGATCCCTGCCACAGGGAGCTGACAATCAAAGTACAATATGATAAGTGATGGGATACAACTCAGGGGGGATGGCCCCGTATACCGAGGGTAGTGGGTTCAAACCTGGCCCCGGCAAAAAAAATAGCCAGGTGTTGTGGCAAGTGCCTGTAGTCCCAGCTACTAGGGAGGCTGAGGCAAGAGAATCGCTTAAGCCCAGGATTTGGATGTTGCTGTGAACTGTGACACCACGGCACTCTACCAAGGGCAACAAAATGAGACTATCTCTTAAAAAAAAAAAAAGAACTCAGGGGCAAGAAGGAATATGACACAGACAAGGGACTCCTCCCTAGTCTAGATAGAAGTGTTCAGAGAAAGCTTCTTGAAGGATAAACCCCAATCCAAAGTGAAGGCAAGGAGCAAACTAGAGAACAGAGAAGGATTATTGCTTCAAAAGATGTGATTCAAGGTACCAACAGTAATAACACCATTTGCCACTTATAAAATGGTTTAGAGAACTCTTCGTAGGAATTAGTCATCAATATTGTAATTTTGCAGATGGAGAGAACTGGAATTAGCAGTCATGTATTGCCTATAGTCACTCAGTACATGGAAGTGGAGAATTGCAGCCAGGTTTTGTGACTGCCTGCTGATCCAAGTCTGTTAGTAGTGGAACACAGGAATTATTTCTTAGGATATATTTTGCTTTGCCCTGTGTGTGCTTGTTTCAAATTAGACTTTAAGGCCTATTTTAATTAATTTTTTCCTTTTTTTTTTTTTTGAGACAGTCTAGCTCTGTCACCCCAGGTAGAGTACAGTGAGGTCATCATAGCTCACTGCAACCTCATACCCCTGGGGTCAAGCAATCCTTCTGCCTCAGCCTCCTGAGTAGCTGAGACTACAGTTACCAGCTGCCATGCCTGGCTAATTTCTGTATTTTTCTTTTCTTTTTTTTTTTTTTTTTTCGAGACAGAGTCTCAAGCTGTTGCTCTGGGTAGAGTGTTGTGTCACAGCGCACAGCAACCTCCAACTCTTGGGCTCAAGTGATCCTTTTGCCTTAGTTTTTCTATTTTTTGTTTGTTTGTTTGTTTGTTTTGAGACAGAGTCTCCCTTTGTCACCCTTGATAGAACACCATGGCATCTTAGCTCACAGCAACCTCCAACTCTTGGGTTCAAGTGATCCTCTTGCTTCAGCCTCCCAAGTAGCTGGGACGACAGCACCCATTACAATGCCTGGCTATTTTTTATTGTAGTTGTCATTGTTCAGCAGGCCCAAGCTGAGTTCAAACCCACCAGCCCTGTTGTATGTGGCCTGCACCCTAACCACTAAGCTATAGGCACCAAGCCAGTTTTTCTATTTTTAGTAGAGACAGGGTCTCACTCTGGCTCAGGCTAGTCTCAAACTTGTGACCTCAAACTATCCACCCACCTTGGCCTCCCAGAGTGTTATTACAGGCGTGAGCCACTACACCTGGCCAATTTCTCTTTTTTGTAGAGACAGGGTCTCAATCTTGCTCCAGCTGATCTTGAACTCCTGGGCTCAAGCAATCAATCCTCCGTCCTCAGCCTCCCAGAATACCAGGATTACAGGCATGAGCCACAGCACCCAGGCTTAACTAAACAGTTATACACTCGTGTGACTCTTCTAGGCAAAAAAAGTTGAGATGATATTTGGGCCGTTTAGGAAAACATTTTCATTTCACAGGTTCAGTATATTGTTTGCCTAGAATTGTGATGAGTCATTTGTTACAAGACACTATTAAAGGCTTGGCACTTGTGGCTCAAGTGGCCAGCCACATACACCTAAGGTGGTGGGTTCAAATCCAGCCTGGGCCCGCCAAACAACAATGACGGCTGCAACCAAAAAATAGCCGGGCCTTGTGAACTAGATTGTTATGAACTAGATTGATGGACCATTGTAGTACAGGTAATTTTTCAGGAAATCTGTTGACAATTATGGGTAAAGAATACTTACAGGCTGAGCATGGTGGCTCATGTCTGTAATCCTAGCACTCTGGGAGGCTGAGGCAGTGGATTGCTTGAGCTCAGGAGTTTGAGACCAGCCTGAGCAAGGGGGAAACACCATCTCTACTAACAATAGAAACACTAGCCAGGCATCGTGGTGGGTTCCTATAGGGAGGCTGAAGCAGGAGGATTGCTTGAGCTTAAGAGTTTGAGGTTGCTGTGAGCTGTGATGATGCCACAGCGCTCTACCCAAGACACAGTGAAACTCTGTCTTAAAAACAAAACAAGGGTGGCACCTGTGGCTCAAAGGAGTAGGGCGCTGGCCCCATATACCGGAGGTGGTAGGTTCAAACCCAGCCCCTGCCAAAAACTGCAAAAATTAAATAGATAAATAAATAATTAATTAATTAAAAAAAAAACACAAAAGGCCCAGTGCCTATAGCTCAGCAGCTAAGGTGCCAGCCACGTACACCTGAGCTGGCGGGTTCGAATCCAGGCTGGGCCTGCCAAATGACAATGGCAACTACAACCAAAAAAAAAGCCAGGCATTGTGGCAGGCGCCTGTAGTCCCAGCACTTGGGAGGCTGAGGCAAGAGAATCGCTTAAGCCTAGGCGCTGATGATGCCACAGCACTCTACCCACGGCAACAGCTCGAGGCTCTGTCTCAGACAAAATAAAACAAAACAAAAACACAAAAAGGCAGATTATTAAAAATTAAAAAAACTAACTATACACATTTAATACAGCTCTTACTATGAGTGCTACTTTAGCATTTAGAAATAAAATATGGGCTTGGCACTTGTGGCTCAAGTGGCTAAGACACCAGCCACATACACCTAAGGTGGCGGGTTCAAATCCAGCCCGGACCCACCAAACAACAATGATGGCTGCAACCAAAAAAGCATAGCCAGGCATTGTGGCAGGCGCCTGTGGTCCCAGCCACTTGGGAGGCTGAGGCAGGAAACTCACTTGAGCCCAGGAGTTGGAGGTTGCTGTGAGCTGTGATGCCACAGCACTCTACCCAGGGGGATAGCTTGAAGCTCT